GGGAGAGCGGAGCCCCCGCCTGGGCCCCGCTCCTGCCCCCAACCCCCGGGTGAGGGTCCCTCCTGGACGCCTGCCCGGGGCAGCCCCGCGGCACGACGCTGGCAAGGGCACGGGAACTGGCCCCGGACTCACTGAAACGCCCTGAGACAGGCCTCGGGGATGTGCTCCTTGTCAAAATTCTTCAGGGCGTCAAGGAAAGCGTCTACTTTTCCCATCATGACCTTCGCTGCCTTCCAGCTCTTGTCCTTCGGTATCTTGCCCCCGCGGGCCGTCAGAACCATCACAGCCGCCGTCACGTTCACCACTGCTTGGGGCGGGGACCCGAAGGACTTCAGCTCCGTCAGGTTGTTCTGGGAAGGGACCAGGGGCCGCTGAGCATCCCCCGGCGTGGGGATGCCGGCACCCACCGGGGACCCGCTTCCCGCTGAGGGGTCGCCCACCTTGTTGAGGGTGTCGAGGGCCTCCTGGGCGGCCACGAGCGCCGGCTCCGCTTTCGCCAGGTCGGTCTCACAGGCTCGTTGCTTCTCGGACACGTTCTGGGGAGGCGAGGGGACGGGGCGGGGTGAGCTCGTGCTGCCCCGTCCCGTGTTGGGCCCCGGCGCGGTGGGCACCGCCTGAGCCCCACGCACCGTGTTGATGGCCTGGACCTTCAGCTCCTCCTCATCTGCGAGGGCTTTCTCCTTGCTGACCTTCTCTGTCTCGACACCCACCACGTGGATCAGTTTATCCGCATCCTCGTTTTTCTGCTTCAGCTCTGCCTCCTGCACCGCCAGCTTGGCTTTCAGGTCGTCCACCTCGACAGGGGAGAGAGGACCAAGGGTTGGTCTGCCCAGCCCTGCCCAGCCTCGCCGCGGTGGCTTGGTGTGGCCTGGGGACGTCGTGGCCACTGTGACGCCCCGCGGGGATGCTCGTCCCCTCGCCCCCCCGCACCGGCCCCGCAGCAGAAGCGTTGCTGTGGGCAGGCACCTGCGACGTCGTGCTCTGCAGCTTCGTCAGCCCCTTCTCCAGCCGCTCGATCCTGGCGGTGAGCTCGCTCCGTTTTTTCGACAGCAGGTTTTGGTAGAGCTTTATCTGCTCCAGGAAGGTCTTTGGCGTGGTGTAATTGTAGCGTCTCTCTGTGGCCAGGTAGGTCTTGGACATCTCCTTAACACTCATGTGGACGTAGGCCATGAACTGGCTGATGGAGACCTTGACCGCGGGCTGCAGCAGGAGCACAGGGGGTGGGTGAGGCTCTGGCGGGAGCAGAGGGACCCGCGGCGCCGAGCGGCTGTGGGGAAATGCCGGCGTAGAACCGAGCCCTCCCGCAGCCTCGGTTCTGCGTCCAGGCGCAGAGCCTGGGAGGCAAAGTGCTGCTTTTCCTTAAATGCCGCGACGTGTGGGTAATCACGGCACTAACGATGCTGGTTCTTAAGCCCAGCTCTGGTTTTCTTGGCTCTAATCCCCCAGGTTAACCCGGGCTGCACTGGGGAAAAGCTGCTGTTCCCAGGCTGTTGTTCATGGGGCTGCTTTAAGGACAAGTGGGAAACGAGGAAAGGTTCGTCCCACCTGCACGGTTTGGGGCCTGGAGGCGGCTGCGACTTACCCCAGACGCCATCCCCGGGCACTGCAGGAGGGAGGGCGGCAGAGGTGCAGGCCGTTCCCCCGCAGCCCGCAGGACGGGCGGTTGCGCGCAGGCACGGCGGCGCTGACCCGGCGCCCAGCTCACCTCCATGTCCCCTGTCTCCTCCAGGAACCGGCTGCTGACGGACACGAGCGCGTCCTGCGGCCACTCGTGGAACCAGTCGATGGCCGTGCAGTTGACCACGGCGGGGAACCTCCTGGCCCGCACCCGCAGGGTTGAGCCCACGGGGGAGAAGCAGAGGATGACCTGGGGCAGAGCAGCGCGGGTGAGGGGGGTGTCCCCCCCCGCTGCCGGGGGCTGAGCTCGCGCCGGGGGCAGCAGGACAGTCGCTGCAAACTCTCGCGATCAGGACCTCGCCTCCCAGCCATTAGCTCCCCTCCCCAGTAGCGGGTGACGGTCTGTGTCTGCACCCCGCGCCTCTCGGGGGGGCCGGCGCTGGGTCCCCCTTGGTGGCACCGGCGGTGGGTGTGGAGGCTGCTCCCCCCACCCTGCCCAGGGTGCACCGTTGGTGGAGGAGCCTTTGAAAACGCGTTTCACCCAACCCATCACCCTGTAATGACACCACGGTTTTCTGTGTCCTGTCTGCCCAAACCAGGAGCCCTGACCCCCCCCCGGGGGAACACCTACCTTTAACTGACGCCTGACTTTCTCTATAAATAATTTCCAGCAGTTTTCCCTTGTATCTTGCAATCCAAGGAACTTCACTTGGGGCTTCATGGCACCGATGATGTTTTCCAGCTCGTCATCCTGGAAGAGCCCCGGCACCTCCCCGGACGCCAAGAAATCGTTCATCAGGACCAGGAAGGATTCATCAGCCACCTGGGAGTCCGTCATCAGGAACGCGGTGGGGATGTTCTTCACGGCCGCCTTGACGTACTGGGAGGCGAGGTCCAGCTGGGCGGGAGAGGGAAACCGTCACCCCCCGGTTTTAAACCCACTCGGAGCCGTTCTCTGCAGGGATCGGCTGGGCCCGGCACTCCCGGAAAGCCGGGAGGGTGCCTCCGGGAAGGTGCTGGGTGCTCTGCTCGGGGCCGGCTGCCCGCGCTGCCGGCACTGCGCCCGCCCTCAGGAGCGGCTCCTGCCTGTCCCTGGCCGGGGAAACGCTGCGGCCCCCCGGACAGGACTCGGAAAGCAGCTCTGAGCGCATCAGGGGGTGCAAGAGGGGAGCAGGGCCCCGCGCCCACCCCGGGCACCGGAGCCAC